TTTTGTGAATGAGGAGTTACACTAAATTTTGGCTTAAAATACCTCAACCTCCAAGATAATGTCTACGTTTCTAGGTCCCAACAAAGACACCAACAAAAAAAAGAAAAAGTTCAGGAACCGCCACTGTTGTGTAGGAGGACGGCGATTTTCCGACATCCGTTTGGATAGTTCGATCACACAGTTCGATTGACATACATAAAGTGATGATTTAATATGCAAAATTCAAACATCCTACAAAATACTAAAATTAAAGCTTTCCAGCACTTTCTTGACCAAATTTTCAAATCCCTTAAATAGATGTATCTGTTGCAAATCATTAGCAGAAAAATCACCATGTTTAATTGAACAAGATTAATCAAGCCTGTACTGAATAAATAACTGGACCTTTTATGGAAACGCTAGCTATAAATATTTACGACGACATTATTCCAGTGATTCCAGTGTGTTTCACCTATACAGTAACGCTTCCATTTACGTCGATCCGATATAAAGAATATATATATGAACAAGATTACTCAAGCCTGTACTGAATAAATAACTGGACCTTTTATGGAAACGCTAGCTATAAATATTTACGACGACATTATTCCAGTGTGTTTCACCTATACAGTAACGCTTCCATTTACGTCGATCCGATATAAAGTCGTTAAGAAATAAGGCAACGATATCCGAAATAAGTTGGTTAAATCCGGTTTAATGTTGTTTTTGGCAGCGTGTGTCTGAGCCGGTATTTAGGTCGTAGTGGACGACCTGGGAGGGTCATATACAATACAGATCTCTTCCCCCCCCCCCTCCTTGACTGTTGTTATTTTAAATGCTATATAAAAAAAAAACATGAGAATTTTGCGCACAAATGATGAAATTCGTTTCACAATTCCTATTATCCTTTTCAGGGCCATCTATGTTCATGAATTTTATCTTATAGCAGTTCGTGTTATTTACCATTTTCCACAATTTGATCGCATTTTAGTTCACAAAACGTTTCGTTGGTAAACGTCATTTATCATTAGATCGCATTACCAGAGACATATTTATAAATAAATACTCTTTCAATACACTTATGATACTTCGACCTAGGTGATATTGTAAGTTATGGATAAGAGTGACTTGTTTTTTTACCTGACCCTGGATTTTTAATTAGTTGGATTTGTGATAAAGGAGTTCATGAATAAGCGGATTATATTTGAAATTACGTGTAAAATTATAGTATTTTGGCACTTGTGTATAAAGTTAAAATCATAAATATATTCAACGTTAAACTGATACACAGTTAAAAACATTTTATTTAGGCCTATCTATGGCCTTCCAAAAGTTGACGACTCTACATGTTTCGACGTTACATCGTCATCCTAAGGATGTAACGTCGAAACATGT